ACCTGTGATGGTCATGTTTTTTTGAACAACATTTTTAGTGCACGCTTGTCTGTCATCTTGTTTCTTTTCTGAATGTGTTGATTGAACAGTGGGTGGCTAGGTAATGTTTTTTGGCACAGACTCCAACAGCTGATTTTATTTTCTAAAAGACATTAAAAAACCCCAGAGATGTAGACTATCCCATGGAAGCTTCTCTCCACCCTATAATTCTGTTTTGTAAAAAGTGTGCACTTTAATAACTTATCGGAGCAAAGATAAACCCCATGAATGGCAAGCTATTTACATCACTCTGAATTGATTTTCGATCCTTGTCGAACATCCATTTTTACCAGTTTGGATCCGTGCAGGCATTCTATTTAGCGTGCTGTTTTCCCAGAGAGCGTTATTTCTTTTATAAGATATAATAACTTAGTAACAGTCAGTCTTACTTCGGTTGCAGTTTTAACAGTCCACAACGGTTTTTTTTTACACCTTATCTCACACTTCCTATTGTATTATGCTGTGTTGCATTGCATGAGTCAGGGCTGTGTAAAGAAAGGAGCGAAAAAACCCTGGGTCCAAGTCCCGCATTTGAAATGACAAGCTGTGACCTTGAGAAATGCTTTAACCTCCAGGAACGTTTCTTTCTCTGTAAAATGGGCAAGAAGAGGATTAAATGAGAGCATGTTTATAAAGTGCCTCATAGCACAGTGCCTGGTATGGGGTAGGTACTAAATAATGGTAATTTCCTTTTTTTTTTGTTATTATAAATAGCAATCACTAGTTTCCAAACTTTTGTTTGACTTTTTTCCATTATATTTCTGTGTGGCTCACAATTGATTTTTCCTCCTGTGAGCCAATGACCCTATAGGAAAATAATTTCATTATTCTACCTTGAAGGAAATGTTAATTGTTGAACATACCTTGATTGACTCATAAGGTTTCAAATCACGTAGAAAATTGTCAAGCATTCCAAAACTGTGGTCACCGAAAATTCATAGGTAATCCCTTTCCCCACTGAAACCTCAGAAATAGAATAACTTAATTTATTTGAGTAAGACACATGTGAACATATAATCATCTCCAGGGAGAAGACTAACCCTTTGAAATGTTCATTTATTCACTCAGTTATTCACATGAATATTCAGTAAACATCTGCTGAATATAGAGTACGTGCTAGGCACTGGTGGAAACATTGGCTGTTGGAAGAATTTTATGGAGAAGATACATTTTGGGAGAAAAATCAAAAAGCCAAATTGATAACAATACCTGTTTTATTTTAGTTGACTGCAGCTGTTGTCAAAAAGGAAAACTTAAATGAGTCTACTTAGGGCAGGCTCTTAGAAAGGGAATTGGATGAAAACAGAAGGTGAAACGGTTTTGTTTTATTCTTCTCAGCCAAGAAGAGTCCCTAATGGCAGCAACCCAAACCATTTTAGATTTGGACCAGATGACTCCTAACCTGACCCATTTCCCTCCCCACCCCTTGAAGTTCAAGGGGTTGGTAACCCCCCTGAATTATGTACAAGATTATGTGAGTATGTACATTTTCTGGGCTCCATAGCTGGCATCAAATTTTCAAATTGGTAGACTTCCTATAAAAGAGGAGGGTATCCTTTTATAAAGCGGTGAACCACTGACATCCATTCCAACAGACCCTCTCATTTTATATTAACCAAGGGAGTGACTCAGCCATTACCCACACAGTGCTTTAGAAACCAGCTTTATGAGTACTGTAAAGTTTTTTGGGTTATGAATTAGTTTACAAATTAGTTACTAGCAATTAATCAATCAAATCTTTGCTTTTATGATTAGTGACATTAGGTATTAATAATAACCAATAGTACTAGTAATGACTAATTATATAATTGATTAGTAACAGAAAAATCTGTAAAGTGCCTTTCAAATGCTATTTGGATAGCAATGATATTTCACAAATAACAGTGACCATATATTAAACCATGGGGATTTATCATTTGGCCAGAAGCCTCATCCCCAGGTAGAGACCCCACTCGGGTACATGTAGCTCCCTGTGTACGCCCACATCTGGTCCTGGGTAGTTACCTAGGAGGGAGTCAGGAATTCTTTTTTTTTTTTTTTTTTTTTAGATTTTATTTTTTATTTATTTGACAGAGAGACAGCGAGAGAGGAAACACAAGCAGCGGGAGTGGGAGAGGGAGAAGCAGGCTTCCCGCTGAGCAGGGAGCCCGATGCGGGGCTCGATCCCAGGACCCCGGGATCATGACCTGAGCCAAAGGCAGACGCTTAATGATTGAGCCACCCAGACACCTCAAGGGAGTCAGGAATTCTTGATCGAATGAATGACGGAGCCTCACTGTGGTTCTTTCCCTTGTCCTTCCTGCGTGAGAACCTCTGGAACTGAGGCTGGAGCAAAACATCCAAGAGGTTTCTCCCTGAACTCGGAGCCCAGAGAGTGGAATTCAGGTGTTTTCAGATGTCAGCTGTGCACTTGGCCCTGGCCCCTGTGAGTGCGTCTGTTTCCCCGTGCACCAGCTCTGCCTCCCCTTTGGTGGCGGCTGAGGGCTGTCTGAGGGCATGGTGATGAGACGCGATGCCTTGGGGGCCGCTGGTCCCCACTGCCTGGGCCTGACACATGCCGTCCAGGCCTTGCTGTTGCCACCCCTCCCGCCTAGCTTTGTGTGACTCAAACAGAAACAAAACATAAACTAAATCAATTATCATAAGGTCACAGGTCTAGCCCATGAAAGACTAGACAAGACTTAAAAGAAATTAGACTGCAGCCGAATGTAATTAAAAAGGGTTTTGATAGGAATTGAGTATAATAACCTTGTGTGATGATTCCTTTAGAATGGCATCTGGTACATCGTCTAGGACACAGGGTTTAAAGACAAAGCTGTAAATGCCTTGTAGTTAATGGCCCTGCTTTAGATCTCTTTCTTTTGTATTGCATGTGCCTATCACAGTGCTGGGCATCATACAGACCAGGGCAAAAGGAAGCTTAAGACTAGGTTCATAGCTGGAGCTCAGTGAGTCCTTCTGGGTAGATGGGATGGCATCTTAGTCTGGTCAGGCTGCTATAACAAAATGCCATAGACCGGGTGGCTTAAATAAAAGACATTTAGGGGCACTTGGGTGGCTCAGTTGGTTAAGCGTTCGACTCTTGATTTCGGCTCAGGTCATGATCTCAGAGTTGTGAGATCAAGCCCCAAGTTGGGCTCCTTGCTGGGCATGGAGCATGCTTAAGATTTTTCCTCTCTCTCTGCCCCTCCCCCTCCACTCACACCTGCTCTCACACGCTCTCTTAAAAACAAAAACAAAAACAGATGTTTATTTTTTGTAGTTCTGGAGGCTGGAAGTCCAATATCAAGGTGCTGGCCAATTCAGTTCCTGGTGAGGACTTTCTGGCTTGAAAAGAGCTACCATCCCTGTGTGCCCCTACGTGGAAGAGAGAGCTCTGTCTCTTCCTCCTCTTATCAGGACATGAAAAGCATCATAGAGGCCCCACCCTCATGACCTCATTGAAACCTAGTTACCTCCCCTAGGCCCCGTCTCTAAACACCATCACCCTGGGGATTAGGGCTTCAGCATTGAATTTGGGGGGATACAAACATTCAGTCCACAACAGATGGCGTAGGTTTTTGGTACCAACGGGCCCATGGTTTTTTAATTCTTTTTTTTAAATAAATCTTTTTTAAAAAAAATATTTATTTGAGAGAGAGAGATAGTGAGAGAGAGCACGAGCGGGAAGGAGGGGGGAAGCAGACTCCCCGCTGAGCAGGGAGCCCGATGCGGAGCTCGATTCCAGGACCCTGGGATCATGACCTGAGCTGAAGACACGCTTAACTGACTGAGCCACCCAGGCACTCCAGGGTTTTTAAATTCTTATCATTGCTGTCTGGCATAACCAGGGAATGGAGATGGGCATTCTTGGAGAACTGGGACTATAATCCATATCAAGAATTTCTGGTAGGATTGGTCACTTTAAACACTGAAAGGAGGGCTTATAGTGGAACAGGAGAGTTCCTTTCTGTGTTTCTCTTGGGAAATGCATCTCCCGTGTTCCTGGCCTCACCCTCGTCACCTACTGCAGAGACATCATCCACAAACTTTCCAGATTCTCTCGAATCCAGAGCCCCAGTGTGGGGCAGCCTCAGAACTGAGTCCCAGCCCATGGTGTAGGGGTCATGGCATGCTCTGCAGATGCCACTGGGCTCCTGTTCTCTGCCAGGAACATTTAATTTCACATCATTAAACTGATAAATGCCCTATAAGTCTACGAAAATCCTGCTTTCCATCATGTCCTCACTCAAGAATCCATAATGTGGCCAAATTGCCAGAAACCTGAGCTTTTTATCCCAGTGGTCACATCCCTTATCTCTTACTCCTCTGTCTTATCCAACCTTGTTTTCTTATTCCAATGTACTTTTTATCAAGCAATATTTTAGACATGCGAAAAGTATAGAAAACAACATTATAAATGCTCAGGTACCAACCCCTCAGCTTAAGAAATGAACAGAACGCCGTACAGTTGCAGCACCCTCCCTGCCTTTTGTAAACAGGCCCATGAGGAGCAAGTCTGGGTGCAGCCAAGGCAGCAGGCGGCAAGTGAGCAAGAGCAAGGGTTTGGGGGCTGGGTGGACTCAAGTGGAATTCTGTCTCTGTGCTTCCTTGCTGGGCAAATTTGGGACAATCATATAACCCCTCAGAGCCTTGACTTCCTCATCTGTAAAATGGGGGATAAGTGTATACTGCGGATCTCCCAGAGTTGTGAAGACTGAGTGGAGTAATAATGTAAGGGCTTGGCCCAGCACTGGGCACGCGGGGAGTGCTTGGCATATGGGGGTTCTTACTGCTGGCAGCTCTTGGGCTTTTCTCATCTTGGATTTGAACTATGGGGATAGGCCCCCGGGAGCAGGGAGGCCTTGCTTCAGGTGAGGCCTGGGGACTTGTCAATGCCCAGACCCAGGCAGGAGGGCAGGGAACGGAGCTCCCATGGTGCGTGCTATGGGCTGACTGATGGGGTGCTCGGTGGATTTCAGGTGCTTGTCCTGGCTGTGAAGCAGCTGTTTCCAGAGTTTGAGTTCATGTGGCTGGTGGATGAAGCCAAGAAGAACCTGCCTTTGGAGCTGGATTTCCTCAATGAAGGGAGGAATGCTGAGAAAGTGGCCCAAATGCTCAAACACTTTGACTTCTTAAAGGTAGGAGGGGCAGGGTAATGGGGGGCATGGTGGTGTGGTGAGAGAGTGCAGGGGAAGACTGGTCCCTGCCCTGAACATCCCTCCCTTGCAGGACATGAGTGGGGATGCCTCCTTCCTGAGTCTTCTTTCCGAACCTGAATGATTCGTCCCTAGTGTTGCACGTTAAAGCTCTTGAGGGCACCGTTACAAAGATATACCAAATGTGATTGATTGAGCCAAACAGATGTTTATTGAATGATCTGTAATTCTAAGACACCGAGTGCTACCCAAGGGCCTCTAAGCTGTGGTCTCTGCCTCTGTGAAGCATGGGATGAGGACTTTGATGATGATGGTAGTTAATGCTACCATGCTCTGGTACTGTCCCTAACACTATACATATATTACCTTGTTTAATATACAGTCAGTTCTCTTATAATGCAATGTATGAATTCCTAGAAACCTCCATAGTATGCAGACTCACACAACAGAAACCACAGGGCTTATGGGGAAAATAGGGCTAGGCTTACAACAGTGCCAACAGACACGTGACAAGATGCTCAGCATCACTTATTTTCAGGGGAATGCAAACCAAACCCACAGGGAGTTATCACCTCACATTTGTCAGAATGGCTAGAATCAAAAAGACAAGAAGTAACAAGGGTTGGCCAGGATGCGGAGGAAAAGGAACCCTTGGGCCCGTTCAGTGGGAATGTACATTGGTGTAGCCATTGTCAGAAATAGCAAGCAGGTTCCTCAAAAAACTGAAAACAGAACTAACATATGATCCATATGGATGCAGCCTTGTGTTTATTACTGTATTATTTACAATAGCCAAGATGTGGAAGCAACCCAAGTGTCCATCCTCAGATGAATGGGCAAAGAAGATGTGATATATACACGATGGAATATTACTCAGCTATGAAAAAGAATTAGCTCTTGCCATTTGCGACCACATGGATGGAGAGCGTGTAGTGCTAAGTAAAATAAATCGGACAGAGACAGGCAAATACTATATAATCTCCCTCGTATATGGAATTTAAGAAACAAAACAGATGAACAAACAAAAAAGGCAAAAAAGTGGACTTAAATACAGAGAATAAACTGGTGGTTGCCAGAGGGGAGGTGGATGGAGGAATGGGTGGAATAGATAAATGGGATTAAGAGTCCACTTACTGTGATAAGCACTGAGTAATGTATAGGATTGTTGAATCATCCACTTGTAAGTAATGTCACACTGTTCATTATACTTCAGTAGAAAATAAAATAACAAAAAGAGACAATTCACAAAATAGAGAATGCAAATTTAAAACAATGTCACCAGTAACACAGAAAATAAAAGAAGGTGGGAATCTACTAGAAATAGCACAGTTTTATGCATGTTAAATGGCTAAGAAGTACGTAAGACCACAGAGCACGTGGCACTCTATCATGACATCTGCTTGTGAAGGTGGGCATCGACAGTTGCCACTTGTGAATTATTGTGAGGTGGTGGAAGGCCGGTCATCTGGAATTGGACGGAAAGTTGTAACGCCGGATGTGCATGGGCGGGACTCATGACACCCGTGGTGATGTTGGGGTGTGTGTGTTTTGTGTATGCCCGTGTCGTGCAGTCTGGCGGGAAGCAGTTTCCTGCATTCACATGGTGCTTCTGGGGGAGGATAGCTCACATAAGCCAATGCAAGATTTGCATTATGATCAAACTGCCCCCCTAATATATCAGTTGCATTAGAAAAAATTTGTGTTTTCAAGTATTATAGAAGAACTGCCTGTCTGAGGATAGAGGACACTTACTGTGGGAAACAACATCAAATGATACAAAGTAGCAGCTTTGTAAGAGGTCCTGCTGCTAAGTGCTTTCCATTCAGAGGAAGGGAGTCCTGTGGTTGATCAGCGCAGGGCAGGCTCTGCTGAGGAGCTGGCACTGGAATGGGTCTTTGAGGATTGGCCTGATGTTCCCCATGGGCTCCATATGCTTCTCCCTAGATAGATGCATGCCAACACCACTGTTCTTACAACATATTGGTCCTTGGCGGGTCTCGGACCCTTTTACCCTGGGGATTCCTCTTCATGGTACACGGGGTTGGGCCCCTCTGGTACTCTGTACCAGAGAGCTTGGCTTTCAACTCTTTGAAGAGATCAGCCCTTCTCTCTTCACAGGAAGCCTGGAGCATGTGGGAAGGGAAGTCACAGAGCCGTTAGGATCTCCAGGTGCTAGTTCCAGAGCAAACAGGTAGTGCTCTTCTTGGGGAGGGGGTCTCAGTACATTGAATGGAAAGGTCTCTTGCTCTTGACTAAAGTGTTCATGTGGCTTCTGAAGACATCATAAGAAATGGAGGTAGTGTTTATACTTCTGCTATCCAGATTTATTAACAGAGATGGGGAGACTGAGAGTGTACCTACCCTAGCCACCTGAGAATCCTAAAGCTCAGATCATGGGGGAAAAGCCACAACTGTGGATCAGTGTAGTGTCTTCACACTGATGTTGGTGAAAGATGTGGCCGTTGGCCAAGTTTGACCCTTTGAGTGAGTTGAAAGTCAGGTCTGCCTGGATGCCTCCAGTACTATGTTCGACTGCCTTTTCCTCAGCTGACCATCATAGATCTGGACATACAGACCCTCTTGTGCCTGTAAATCCCCATGTGCAGACTAGATCTGGTAACACTGCCCCAGCCTTGAAATTCAAGCCACCAGTTCAATAAAAATGTGGCCCTCTCAGACAAGGACTCATACTAACTTATTAGCATGGTGCCGTGGGTTCTAAACTATGTTTGCTTCTGCTTGCATCTCCCATGTCTTCCTCTGCTTTATCCCACATTTCCTGAGCTTGTTGTGTTAGGAGTTGGGGGGGCCTAGCTGAGAAAGAGATGGTTGGCTCCCACCTGAGAAAAGGTCCCATCTAGTGGGGCACAGACACACTGTGTTGCCACAGTCCAGGCCTGCGCCATGCCCAGATGTACAGCCTGTGACAGAGACTTGGCTATGTTTCTGTGGATGCCCAAGAGCAAGCACTTCATTCTGCTCAGGATAAGGAGCTTAGAGGGGGCTTCCAGGAACTGTTGAGTGTACAAATGGGTAGGCAATATTGACTAAATGTTTCTTCTGCTTCCCTGGATGCTATCCAGGTACCATGACATTGGATCCTTCCAACAGCCATCACCCCATCTTACAGGTGACAGTCTTCGAGTAGAGAAGCTAGGGCTGCAACCCAGATTTTCTGATTTCATCTCTGGTGCTCGCTTGAGGACATTCTGTTGCCTCTTAGCTGGCAGGGTGCTCCTCAGCACCAGAACTATGAACCAAACAGAACCATCTCCTTCACCGTTCCCATGGAAACAGCAAATCATCCTCTGGCTGGGGCCAACTAGCATCTGCCAGACCAAGACATGTAATAATAATAATAACACAGATTTCTGAAATGAGGATGCCAAATGGGTAAATAATTAATGTAACAATTTGACCTGCGGCTTCTAAAACCCACACACTGTTCCTAAGACAATGGTGTGACTAAGGCTCCTGAGTAATTAATTTTGCCTAAACACATAACAAGTGAGAAGCAAATTTTGCGCTGTGAACCCAGTTCAGCTCTTAAAACTGGAGATAGATTGCCTTTGCACACGGGCCCCCCATCACAACATCTGTGCGTAATTAAGCCTCAGCGAAGAGTTTACCTCTCAGTGTTTGAGGCATCTTCCAGTGGGGTTTAATAACCTCAGCCCTAAGCTCTAAATCTCTGAGCCTCGGAAAAGCACCGAATGGAAGTGTAGGGTCAGGGAGGCCGGGAGAGGGTGAGAGGGCAGCCAGGCTGAACGGTCAAGACCAGGGCATTTGTGGATCTGTTGTGTATTGTGGGGAGGGGCCAGGGCAGGTGGTGAGGTTTGTGACCAGCCTGGGGGAAAGCTGGGACAAGGGAGGAGGGAGAAGCCTTAGAAGCACAGGGTTTGAGACCAGAAGAGATGAGAGCGTGCCTGGACATGTGGAGGCAGGGAGAGGTAGAGCAGTCCTCTCCTGAGCGGGCCCGCTTCAGGGGGCCACTTCTTAGGGCAAGGCAAGGATCCTGGGACTCTCCAGAAATTGTGGGCAGACCTCGATGGATGTGCATGCTTTTGGAGAAGCACCACAGCTTCCTATGAATCTCAAAGATGAAGAACCGCTGGTGTAGAATAATTAGTAGGACTTAATACTTTTTACGTGCCTGTGTTGTGAGACACTTTTTAAAGTGCTTTGCTTGGGGGCACCTGGGTGGCTCAGTCGTTGAGCGTCTGCCTTCGGCTCAGGTCATGGTCCCGGGGTCCTAGGATCGAGCCCCGCATCCGGCTCCCTGCTACGTGGGAAGCCTGCTTCTCCCTTTCCCACTCCTCCTGCTTGTGTTCCCTTGCTCGCTGTGTCTCTGTCAAATAAATAAATAAATAAATCTTAAAAAAAAAATAAATAAATAAAATAAAATGCAGAGTCCCAAGGGGCGCCTGGGTGGCTCAGTCGTTAAGCGTCTCCCTTTGGCTCAGGTCATGATCCCGGGGTCCTGGGATTGAGCCCTGCGTCGGGCTCTCTGCTCAGCGGAAAGCCTGCTTCTCCCTCTCCCACTCCCCCTGCTTGTGTTCCCTCTCTCGCTATGTCTCTCTCTGTCAAATAAATAAATAAAATCTTTAAAAAAAAAATTTGAGGGCGCCTGGGTGGCTCAGTCGTTAAGTGTCTGCCTTCGGCTCAGGTCATGATCCCGGGGTCCTGGGATTGAGCCCCGCGTCGGGCTCTCTGCTCAGCGGAAAGCCTGCTTCTCCCTCTCCCACTCCCCCTGCTTGTGTTCCCTCTCTCACTGTATCTCTCTCTGTCAAATAAATAAATAAAATCTTAAAAAAAAAAAAGTGCTTTGCTTGTATTTACTTCTTAATCCTTATACAGTCCCACGAGGGAAAGGCCACGATTAGCCCCTTGTCAATGGCAGGGAAATTGAGGCCCAGAGAGATGAAACCATTTGCCCAAGGTTACACAGCTTCCGGGAAGGGGCAGAGGCGGGTTCTGGGTGGCGGCAGGGCAGCCTGGCTCCAGAGCCTGCGGGTTACACCGCGGTGCTCTTCTGCCTTCGTAAGAGTTTATGGGGCAGATCTGAATTGTGCTGAACTGTCTGTAGCATCAACCCTCAGCCCTGGTCGTGTGTCAGAACCATCCGTGAAGGTCTACATGGCTCTCATAGGGCAGCTGGGGTCTGTCCAGCAGGGGCTAAGTGCGTGCTGTCGTTTCGAGCACCAGGATTCCACACATGCTCGTAAGAAGTTGGGAATGTTGCTTCGCTGTAAATGTCATCGCCATTTTACAGGTGGGAAGCTGGCACTCCGGTTATAAAACCTGCCCAAGGTCACGCAGCTTGGAGGGAGCAAAGCCAGGGCTCCAGCCTGGCAATCAGCCTCGGGGTCTGTGCTCTGCTTCCCTGGGCTCCCCAGGAGATGGGCACGGGCCCAGGCGAACCAGGGCCTGCATCACAGGTGCATTGACCAAAGCACAGGAACAGAATGGAACCATGGGGTCAGGGCCAGACTGTGAGGCTGAGGCCCAGGTTCTCGGGCTGGAATTTTCCATAATCTGTGCCTTCCTTCTTGGGATCAGGATTGGCCCCAGCATGGGTGGGGGGCAGGTGGAGCCATGGGAGTGGGGCCTCTGATTTGTGGCAAGGAGATAGACTTTGGACTCAAAGTCCTGATGGCCAGGGTGTGAACCTGCCTGTGGGGTCAGTGGGTCCCCCTGGCCACGAGCCTCCCTGGGTTGAATTTTGTTTGGGGGGGGCATGGGAGGGTTCTTCTCATTGCCTCTTTAGAATGATTCTCTTTCATCTTTCTCCATTTTGATGAAGGGAGCAGAAGGCAAGGGGATGAAACATGGGTGTTGGGGTGAATTTCACCTTATGCTCCCAAACCCTCCTGCCCACAGAGTGATTTAGGGGCAAGTCATCGACCTTAGGTCCCACAGTCAAGCCAAGTTTCTCCTAAGTGAGCAGGGAGCAAATTTGCATTTTGTAGTCATTTCTGTGATGTAGTTGTCAAGGGGCAATTTGCGGTCCTCTCTGAGCTCCCATGACAAACCTCTCTACCTCCCGGCTTTGGTATTCTGTCGTTTCAGATCTAAGCTGCTGTGGCAGGGGCCATTGTGTTGTCCGACAGGACACTTGCATTGGGAGGGAGGCTGGGGAGAAAGGTGGAGGAGGGGAGAGCGCAGTGCCCCCACTGCCCTGATTGACAAGCCCAGAGAGTCTCCAGACTTTGGGTTTTCTCTTTCCATCTGTGGCTCTTCCAAGTGGTTTTCCAAGTTGCCCCAGGCAGGCCCAGATGGGGTTCTGACCTTGTGTCCCCAGAGCCCCAGGCGCCCACTGCCAAGCTTAGGTTTTCAAACAAACCGAGAAAAGAACTTAACCTCAAAAATATGTCCCTTCCATTTGGAAGCCACAGCCAACAACAGCAAACTTGCACTCCTATTTTTAAAGATAGCTTGTGAAAAATGCCACGCAAGACTGAATTTTAAGCTCACAGTCAGAGAGAGTCACAGATTTCTCTACTAGCCCAGATTTTCAAATGGCAAGAATGGCAGGAAAGTAGCAAACCACAGTGGCACCTTGACTTCAGTTGGAACCTTTGTTCCAGGCAGCCCGGAGTGTTTTGCACATGTGTGCAGCCCCAGGCATTCTCAGAGCTCCTTCTTGAGATGGGGCAGGAACAGTCCTTTGTGATAAGGAAAACTGAGGCACTGGAGGTTAAGTGGCTGGATTAAGACATGGTAGTATTTGCAGAATGAGGAAGGAAAATAGATTTCTTGACTTGAGGGCTGTGGTCTTATTGCTAGATGAGTTTTGGGGGTCAAGATGAGGAGAGTCCTTATTCCCCCAAACCCTTGAATGAACTGCCCTTGTTTCTTTCTTTCTTTTTCTATCTTGTTTTATTTGTAAGTGAAAGCAAGCCCATCATGAGTTGTTCGGGAAACGTGGCATGCCGATATCCCAGTCATTCCTCCCTCCTGGCAGTGGGGGTGCTCTTGGGTGTCACTCACTCATCGGGCAGCCCAGCAGCCCTTGTTGCAGTCCCAACTCTTGTCTCATGCTGGGGAAATCTGTTCTCTTTTTGGCCACTGGGTGTTCTTAGAGTCAGGAATTAGGAATTAATTAGGAATGCATTTGTCTGCAAGTAACCAACAGCACAATTTAGAGTGTCTTAAACAAAAAAAGACTTATTTTCCTCACATGGCAAGAAGGTGTACAGCAGTTGCCTGCTGATATTGTGTTAGTGGTGTGATGGTATCAGGACCAGCATCTCTGATTTTCTTGGACTTTTCCTCATGGTTGCAAGATAGCTGCTACAGCTCCAGGTATCACATTCATTTTCAAGGTAGGAAAGAAGGGTAAGAAGAGTTGCACCATTTACGAACATTCCACCCCCCCCTTTTTAAAGATTCCACTTATTTATTTGAGAGGGGGAGGAGAGAGCTCACACCAGCAGTGAGGAGGGACAGAGAGGAGAGGGAGAAGTAGGCCCCCCCGCTGAGCAGGGAGCCTCATGTGGGGCTCGATCCCAGGACCTAGAGATCACAACCTGAGCTCAAGTCAGATGCTCAACCAACTGAGCCACCTAGGCACATGCCTTTTTATGAAGAAAAGAAAAACCTTCCCAGAGCCCCAAGCAGGCCTCCATGTATGTTTCCTAAGCCAGCACTGTGTCACGAGGCCATAGCTATTGCAAGGTAGGCAGGGAACGTGTGTAGTTTCTCCTGTCTCAGGGGAAGAGGAGGACTGGGAAGAGCTGCTGGGTTAGGATCCAGCATTATCTGCCACAGAAGACTTGTAGGAGACGGGCATGAGAAAACTCAGGACTTCCTGACTGAAAAATTTCTCACCCAGTAAAAATTCGGTCATTTGTTCGTTCGTTCATTCGTAGACCTAGACATGTAATACATCCATTGCACAAGTGTAGAAACTGAGGCAGAAGGTTGAGATTCACGTGAGGAGCCTGCAATGGGCCTGGTGAGAGAGGGAAATAGATTTCAGTGCCAAGTCTGGCTCAGGTATGAGGGGTTCCTCACCTGTTTCTCTAAGTCCCAATTTTTGGTTCTTGATGGTGTCTGGAGGCATTGAGGAGGGTGGGGAAGCCGTTCTCTGGTCCCTAAGCAGGAGGGTGGCTCTAAAGGAGGGCCTGGGGGCCTACCTGGTGGAGGAGGCAATGTGGCCTGCCCCACCCCTGCCCCTGCCTGTCACTGCTCGGTCCCCCTCGGGCTTTGTCTCGTGTTCCTGGGAGGAGAATCTGCCCTTGCCTGGCTCACTGTGCCTCTCTGTGGTCCTGGCCTCTAGCTGCGGGCCGGCCAGCCCTTCTGACCTGCCCTTGCCTCTTCTAGGTCCCCCGCATCTACTGGGAGCTGTCCACCAAACGGGTCCTTCTGATGGAGTTTGTGGACGGCGGCCAGGTCAATGACAGAGACTACATGGAGAGGAACAAGATTGACGTCAACGAGGTGAGCTTGAGCGCTCACGGCTGCTGTGGCGGGACACGGGCTTGGTCGGGGCTCCTGACCGAGGGCAGGTGTGTCCCTGTGAGTCTCACTGCCTTGAAACGGAGCCTGTTGTCTGAAGAATTACAGTATCTCTGAGCACAAAGCATCCTCCCAGGGCATCTGGTACAGCCCTCTGCCCTGTCTCCTAAAGCTGGGCCTGGCTGCACACAGTGGGGTGCAGGCCCATGCTGAGCCCCTTCTTGCAGCTCATGCTCCAACAAGTGACTACCGTCTGTCCTCTTGTACCATCCGAGCCCCACAGAGCTGAGCGGCCCCAGAGAACAGTGCCGTGAAATCCGTGGGACTTAACTGCTTCTGGTCCTGTGGGGCCTGGGCACAGCCTCCTCCCTCCTCCCGCCCTCCCCTCTCCCTGCTGCTCCCCAGACCTCAAGGGGGTCAGGCCAGCAGGGGACAGCAGGAGCCAACTATTTCTACTTCACAGAGCTACAAGAAAAGGAAGGCTTCTGTCTCCTGCCTCCCACCCCATTGGTCTCAGGGAAAGAAAGCTGGCCAGTGGGGTTGAGGCCTGTACCCCATTTTCTTCTTCTTGGTTGCTGTAGGGTCCCACAGGTAATGATGGAGTTGTACTTTTTCAACGACACCCATCATCTTTATAGTCCCTCCTCTGAGCTAGGTAGGGGACTTCAGAGGGGGCCAGGCATTATTCCCTTCTTTAAGGAGCTCACCACCTAGTGTTGCTGTTATATCCACAGCTAAATCCTTACAAGACCCTCTGGGCAGCGGGAGGGGTGTGAGCGAGACCCCAGGGAACTACACAGAGGAGGTGCTTGCTTCTGCTGCAGGTCAGCTTCCCCGGCAGGATGAGCAGGGATTTGCTGGGTGTGTGTGTGTGTCAGGGTGGAGGAGTTGGGGGGCAGTGATGGCAAGGAAGGGGAAGGGAATGGTGAAGTTTGGCAGGATTTCCAGGGGAGTGTGGAAAAATAGGGTGGGGGCAGGTAGTGAAGATGTTGGGCAGGACCTCAAAAGTACTGGGGAGTCATGAAGGGTGTTGAGGAGTGCAGTGATGTGATCCACCGCTCTGGGTGGGTGAGAGGAAGCAGTGGAGACAGGTGAATGCTCTTTCCTTCCTCCCACCCCAGGCAACATATGAAGATGAGCCTGTGGTCCCAGTGGTGGGATGGCCCGGAGGAGGAAACTACCCCTTGGCTCAGCAGATGAGCCAGTGGAATGGTAGGAGAGGGTGCACCTTGGGAGCTCAGGCCTCCGAGTGCCTGTGTGGCCTCTGCTGATGGGGACAAAGACCTCCTTCTAAGAAGGTTGTGAGGGCCACACGAGTGCTGAGCACCGTGCCTGGCAGGTACTTCGTGCTCCAGTATGGTAGCAAGATTGTTGTTGTTTTCATTATCTTTGGGCTCTGCCCTTTCCTTCTTCCTCCTTTATCTCCTTGTGTTTATTGAATGCCCAACTTGGTGTACCAAGTGCTTTTTTCCGTAATAAACCTGGGAGGCAGGTCTTAAAGTCTTCATTCTTCTAATGAGGAATCAGAGATTCAGAGAGGGATGGTAACTTGTCCAAGGTCACACAGCTCGTAGAGCTGGGATTGAAACCCAAGCCCCTCTGACTCCACTGTTTTTTAGTTTGTAAAAGGAGAGGTTGCGTCAGAGCGTAGGGCACTGCTGCTGGGAACATGGCTGGGAAGGGCTCAGCCACAGCTGGCCTTGGCCTCCTGGGAACTCAGGGAATGATGCTCCCGGAACTGTTGGGGGCCTCAGGGTATGTGTGTGCAAGGTGGGGAGGCTGGACAGGCACCAGGCCCTCCCGCCCCCTGCTCTGCCATCACTGGAGTTGCCTGGTGGGCTTTTCTGGAAGAGGTCTCCCTTTGGGGGTTGGGAAAGGATAAGAGAAGGACTGTTTTAATTCAGCCCTCCACTTTCCGGATGGCAGGGCACTCTGAGGGAGAGCAGTGGATGTCTTTCCCGAGGTCACTGGGCCAGTAGCACAACTTGGGGCTTCGGACTCTGCTCCAGTCACTGTTGCCTTCTAGGGTAGGCCTGGGAAGGTGTTGGGGTCGATCTCCTGAGCAGGAGGGAGGGAGAGACCTGCTTGCCCATCTCCTCCACTGGTGGTTGGGGTGGGGTGTGTCCCTAGACATCTAGCCAGGGATCCTCTGCCCACCGGGACCCTTGGGTGCAAAATCTTTGGCTTCAGTGAGCAGGGGGAGAGAGAGGAAGGGAGATCATCTCCAGCTTTTCCTGAACAGCCTTAACGTGGATCAGGAAAGATGCCACAGGCCTCATACCTCCCCCTCCCCCACCAGGTTACCAGCATTTACTTACTGCCGCTGCTGTGGGATTTTCATTTCAGCAGCGCCCCCAAATCCATTAATCTCTTTGGATACAGTGAGTCCAGGGCTGCAATGGTGTTTTATCAGAGGCAGCTTTGATTTTTCAAAGACAAGTGCAAACAAAGATGTGCTCTGCTGTAGTTGCCCGCTCTCAAGGCTGAGCGAGGTGCCTGGGAGGAGGGGCAGTGAGGCTGGAGGGAGGGGGCCTGCGGGGGCTGGGCCGGGGGCTGCCCTCCAAGAGCCCGGGTTCATCTGCTCCTGCCTCCCGCCCTCTTTAAACGTCCTGGCAGATAAGGCCAGCGTTCCGGGCAGAGCAGACCCTTGGTGGACACCCTGTGAATTAATGGAGAATAAATCAGCCAGCCTCACGCCCTGGGTTAGCTTCTGGGAGGCAGGGCTGGGGCAGAGTGTTGGTTTTTTGTTTTCTGTGGACATGCAGGGTGGGGCAGGCCGATATCAGAGTGATTTGGGGAAAACAATAACAGAAATAATAATAATTATAAGCAACTAATCTGTGCCAGACACATGGCACATGTAATCTTTACTCCTTACAGCTGGCCTGCCAAGGGCTAGATGAGAGACCATAACCCCATGATTGGATGAGAAAGCTAAAGCTCAGAGAGGTTGAACAACTTGCCCAACCTCACACAGCTAGCGGGGGCAGAGCCAAGCATTTGAACACAGGTCTGTCGGATGCTCTTACTCCTCTACCTTCTCCATCCCCTCCCAGGGATCAGACTCTGGCTGCATTGGAACCTGCCCCCACCTCCTCCCCAGAGTGACGGCCACATCAGTAACTCCTTGAAGAAGGGAGTGCAGTGCTGACTAAGAAGCTCTGCCCCCCACATGGGCCCTCACTGAATGCAGGCCTTCTCCCTTGAACTCATGTCAGGCATGTTTTTTTTTTTCCATTTCATGCAAACACTGTTCCCCTTTCAGAGAGATGAGTAGACAAGAGGTGTGTGAGCCATACGGAGCACAGTGCCTGGGGTATGGGTGGCGCTCCAGATTGGTGGTTAGTTGATTATTGTTGTTTTCATGATTATTACCATCATTGGACCCTGTCCTTTCCTCCTTTACCTCCTTATATGATTAGCGTTTACCAACTGCCCAACTGTGTGCCAGACGCTTTCTATACTGTAAGCTTAGGAGGGAGGGCTTAGTGCCTCTATTTGCAGGTGAGGAATTGGAGACCTAGAGAGGGGAGCTCCCAGATCCTGATGGTACATGTCCACCATTTTCATATGGATCTGCTATGTAATCTCTAGCCAGATAAAGATGCGAATCATTTCTAGCCCTCCGGCAGGCTTCCTCACCCACCCCCAGAGTTGCCTTTCTGACTGTCGCCAGAGATCACTTCCGCTCACTACTGAACTTCATATAAGCAGAATCCCACGGTGTAGTCTTTTGGGTCTGGCATCTGTCATCAGTCACCTGCGGGTCTTTTTCTGGAAGCTCTATTCTCTTCCATTGGTCTATTGGTCCATCCTTCTAATAGTACCACACTGTCTTGATTACGTAATTCCTCAGTCCCCCCCGGCCCTGGCTTCTGGGGTTTGTATGACCTGGGAGGCTCTTTGGTACTCTGGGATGTTGTCTTTAAATACTGCTGCAGAGACCTCAGGCTGGGCAGTGGGCGGGTGTGGCCCGTGTGCCCTACTGTGCTGTCGGTGACCATCGGTTGGGAGAAGACAGGGGACAGGCCCGACTTTACAGAAACTAATCCGTATGTCTCTTACCAAGCAGCATCAGAGTTGCAGGCCTCACGGAACACTAGTGGGGCATGAGCGTGTGGGGGTGGGGGTGGGTGGGTGTGGGTGGTCGGGGGTTGGGAGTGGGGAAGGGGGAGGTTCGGGAGACTCCATGTGACTGACAGTTTCTAACAGACTTCTGAGGTTTCTAAAGTCTCCTGAGGACTGTGGGACTCAGCAAGTCGGTCCCTGGAGTGAAGAAGCCCTCCTTAGGACAGGCTGACTGTGAGTGTCCTTGGGGAGGGAAGTATGGGACAGCCAGAAGTGACAAGGGGCAAATATCGCATCCCAAATCCTGGGTGATAGGGTGTTTAGTGGCATCTTGGCTGCCACAGGCGGGTGACTCAGCTTGAAGTCGGGGCTCAGGAAGTGGCTGTAAAAGGAGTTGCTTTCTAGGTGGGTGAGGAGGGTTCCAGATCCCTAGGCATGTGAGGACCTGAAGACCAGTCTAAGTAGCCAGTACCCAAAGAGTCAGGGAGAGAAATGCCTGCATTTTAGCCCCTGTTCTGCCAGTGGCTCGCTGTGTGACCTTGCACAAATCACTCCGCCTCTCTGGGCCTCAGTTTTCTTATTGAAGGCATTGGATTAGCTGGACTCTCAGGGTACGTCCTGCTTGGATATTTTACACAACAGTGATTCTTGGCTTGCTGGGAGCTAAGACTTCAACCATCTATTTCAGAATCTCCAAGGGGAGCTTATTTAATAATGCAGATTTCTGCTGCACCCCAGACTGACTCATCAGAATCTGGAGTGGAAAGGGTTGCAAGAATCTGTGTTTTAACAGACTCTTCAGGTGGCTCAGACACTGACTGGAGTCCAGGAACCACTGCCACAAGGCCAGCCTTCAGGCACGGGGCAGCGCTAGCCCAAGTGTGCTCACTCATCCAGGGAGCCTGAGGCCTGGG